TAGGGGACCAGGAAGACTGCTTGAGATTTTCAAGGCTTAGCTTAGAAGTGATGGGAAGGGTGTTGTTTTTTGCATGTGTTCTTGTGGTGCTAAAACTCCATCTCGCAGTGTGTTGCCATCCACCATGCCCCATTAAGCTGGATGTTTTTTACATCACGATGTTGCATCGTTTCAGAAGCTTGGTGGTGGTCCCCACCCCTCAAAATTGCTGAAATGTCCCCTTTCCCTTCTGCTACCTGCAAATGTAAAGCAACGCTGGAAAATGGCATTTCAGACCTGGTTTAAAAGCTCCAAACACGCAAGCGAATATTAGCTTCTGCTAAGTTGTAACTCACCAGGAGAAAGAAAAAAAAAGAGAGGAGCATTTGCAGACAAGTCAGCAAAACTGGAACTCGGAGCCATTACTGTGCAATCAAGCAAACAACAAAAGCCTTATTATTTCTGAACTTTCCTTTCCATCAAGATGTTTCCTCCCCAAATTATTTCACTGCAGAAGTTTTGATTAAAAACATTTCTTGCCCTTTTGTACAGCGTATGATGAAAGAGACAATTAAAGGAGTTTCGTTGCACATAATGAAGTCCTGCATCTGACAGGGGCCATCAGGGGGCAAGGCTGAGAGCTAATAAAGGCAAAAGAACACGCGGCTTCAGGCTGCCTTTGTGACAATAACGTGAGGCTCAGAAAACTGGAAAGCAAAATGAAGGCGACTTCTCTGCATTTTGCAGCTAACTTAGATTAATTTCCTTTCCCCACTCACAAACAGCTTTAAGAAAGATCAACATTTTTAAGAGATTTAATGATGCTGAACAATAACAACTCCAAAAGAACATGTTAAATGTACAAAGTATACACCAGAACTCAGCCAAGCTGCTGCTGCTGACCTTCCAATATTGCAAAAATGGTCCAAGCTATATAATGAGCTGACAAAAGTGACAACAAACCAGACTATAATTTGAAACATTTCCAGTTTTTGGCAGGTAACATTAGCCAGGCATGGGTTTAAAATCTCCAACTTCCTACTTTGTTTCTTATATAAAACTGGGAGAGCAAAGTGAAAAAGAAAACCAAGCCGATTTAAATGGGGGGGGGGGGACTGTCTCCATGGGATGGAGAGAATGGAAAATAAAAGGGTTCAGGGGATAAAATTCTCAGCATTTTCACTTAAGTTGCCAATACACCAATCAAACGTAGCTAGTGAAACTCTGGGCTGCAATATGAGTCTTGTAGGGAGGACTGAATGGCATTTGCATTCCTTGAAAAGGAGGCCTGAACCAAAACTGTGTAGCTGGCAGCTTGCAGTACACATTGAATGTTACATTTGAGAGTGGATGTTTCCTGGTGTGCTGCTTCCTTTAAGTACCAGGACTCTTGTGGAAAGGCAATGGAAGAGACTCAAGACCAGGGGTAGACAACCTAAGGCCCATGGGCCGGATGCGGCCCAATCGCCTTCTCAATCCAGCCCGCGGATGGTCCGGGAATCAGGGTGTTTTTACATGAGTAGAATGTGTCCTTTTATTTAAAATGCATCTCTGGGTTATTTGTGGGGCCTGCCTGGTGTTTTTACATGAGTAGAAGATGTGCTTTTATTTAAAATGCATCTCTGGGTTATTTATGGGGCATAGGAATTCATTAATTTCCCCCCAAAAAATATAGTCCAGCCCACCACATGCTCTGAGGGATGGTGGACTGGCCCACAGCTGAAAAAGGTTGCTGACCTCTGCTCAAGACTGTGCACACACCACACGTTTTTAAGTGCACCCCCCCCCCGAATCCTGGGAACTATAGTTTCTGAAGGGTGCTGTGTGGTGGTTTCCGCTAAGGAAGGAAGTTACTGCTGTCCACAGCCATCTCTTTTATGCCCAGCTGCACCCTGGATGCAACGGCATTGTATACTTAGATACAATTCAGTTTTAAAAAGTTCAAAGTACAAATTGAGTTTAGAGACTTCATACAGGTTTAATGCCATAATTCCAGTTGAAAAGATGCAATGCTCTTTTTAACTGGATAAACACCCCACCTTCTCAATCACACTGCTGCTACTGCACCTTCTCAAGCAAGGCGTAAGGGACCTGGCTTTTGTTTTGTTAGACTACATTCTTCAAAGGCAAAAGGATGAAATGAATTGCCATTACTGAGCTGGGCACTTCTGAGGCTACCAAGAGGCGAATCTAAGCCAAAGTTGGAAGAACCTTTAAAATGTATGATATGCTGGCCACAGCCTGAAGCAGTATCTGAAGATATGCTATGGTTTATATATATATATATATATCATAATAGCCTCTTCTGGCCACAAACTTCAGATCTTTAAAAAAGTAGGGGAAAACTGGAGACGTATTCAAAAGCAGTTTAATGTTTCTCAGGATCACTACAACAAAGAAGAAACAGAGCACCGAAGAAACCCTCTAAATGCGGAGTTTCTGCTAAGAATATAACTTGCAAGACCTGCCGAATCACGGCCAATATCTCTCTATGATCATATAAAGAGTTTACCGGTAATTTGTAACCGGGGAGGGCATAATGGAGAAAGCACCTTCTCAAGAGGCAAGGAGTAAGATCCAGAGGCTGATAGTGGAGGCTCAGCTGCCTCAGGGCATGTCTGTACCAGATCTGTTTTATTTGCAAGATTTCTAGGGCACTTTTTAGCAACTGCTCCCAAAGTGACGTACAGACAATTCTATAAAGCCTGTGAAAATCACAATTTAAAGTTAATGTAAAACTAATACAGCCAATGGCTAGCAATGAAACATTTTTATAAACACGAATCTCTATGATCTGACAGTGAAAATAGCACAAGGCTGTCTGCACATCAAGTTTCCCAGAACTGATCAATAATCTGCTTCCTATTTCCGCTGTATGGAACTTAAGTCCCTTTCAGATTTTAAAAAACGTCCATACAAATGGACACATACAGAGGGTGCACATAAGGAACCTAAACGTAAGAGAGAAGGGCTGTAGCTTCCATTATATTTTTTTTCTATGTACAATATGTTCTTTGGGGGGGGGGAAGCATTGGGTTTTGTGTGCTCCCCCTGTATTTTGAAGCTGTACAGCTCAGATATGTTTGCCATCTCATTTAATTAAGCTAAAGCCACGGCAAAACAGTGGGTGTCCATTCAGTGACAAAGCCTGACTTGCTCATGCAGCAGTTTCATCTTTAAAATAATGAGGGCAATTCTGCAGATTTGAGACAAACTCAATATTTTAGTAACAGGCAATAAAAGCAACACACAGCTAAAAATCAGAAGCTGCAATTGGATTGCCATTTTAATTTTTGCTGCCCAATATTAAACTTCTTTTAGGGTAAAGTTTTGGTGAAGTTTTGAACTATTCGTTTGGAGATTATTTCTCGTAAACCACTTAGAGGATTGACTTACAATCAAGAGGTATATAAGCATTGTTAAATAAAATAAAATGAATAAATACTCCATTTTTATTCCTGGGAACCAAAATACATTTCTATTATATATATCAGAGGTGGGCAGAAGGTAGATCAGTATCTATTGGTTGATTGCCAAGAAAACTCTTCCACACCATTAAATTAAGACTGCTGAAATGAGGGATATGGGGGTGGGGGTATAACCAGGAATGGATTTTTGTGTGAAGGGGGGGGAGGACTGTGAACTCATCAGCTCAGTTCTGGGACTCAAAACAAGTCCCTGGGCTCAGCAGCTGCTCAGGTGCACCATGTTCTTTAATTCTATGTGTAAGCAGGGCTTTTTTCAGCTGGAACTTGCTGCAACTCAGTGGATGCCATTGCCATTATAAGAGAACAAGGGGTGAGTTCTAGAAAAATAGCACTGAGTGGAAGTCTTTTGTGCCTGACTCCAATGCGTGGATCTTGGGAGTTTTAGTAAAATGAAAAGTAGATCTTGCACACCTTAAGTCTGCTCACCCATGTTTTGCTGGATTGCATCCCTATTTGGAATATAACCACCAGAATTTGAACTTTTATTCCTGGAATATGCACTGCCCCACTGATAGAAATGAACATGTATTAGACTAGGGATGTGGAACCTGCACCCTTTCAAATGTTGTTGGAGTCCAAGTGCCATCAGACCTAGCCAGCAAAAAAAATATCTGGTGGGTCAAAGGTATTTCCCTGTATTAGGCAAATACTACTGACTGGGATCTGAAGTTCCTCGTGGTCATGGAGGCTTCAGGCTTGTGTTTTTTAAAGAGCTGCTCCTATGCCATGTCAAACTGAAGGGACAAATATGTGAGAATGAAGAGCAGACAGTAAGAAAATAAAAGAAAACTATACAAGGAATGCCCAAGCCCTTAGGTGTGCCTAAAGTAGCTCTTTGGATCCTGGCTTATATAAATAACTGCAACACTTTAGGAAGAATCTTAGCTAATGCACTGCAGGGGGGAAATGTACTGTTTATGCATTACTATTTAAAATAAGGTTTAAAACCTCATTTTGTGTTAAATTCAGTTATGAAACATTCAAATTCTCAACACTCTTCAAAAGTTATAGTCCCTTCAGGGGTTTAGTGTTACAACAATAGAGGGCATAATTTTAAGATATATGAATATGAAAATAAGGCTGCCTTTGAAGGAAATTTTAACATCTACCAAATGTGCACGGTTCTGAGACATGCTAGCGTATTTGTCCTGTTCCTTGCAGTGAGCTGGAAAAGCACACTATACTCCTATACCGCCCTATTTATACCTAGAATCATAATATGTTGAAAGAGACCCTGAGGATGTTTTGAGGACTACAATTCCCATCATCCCTGGCCACTGGTCCTGCTAGCTTGGGATCATGGGAGTTGTAGGCCAAAAACATCTGGAGGGATCTAGTCCAACACCCTGCAAGACAGGAATATACAGCTGCCCCATACAGGGATCAAACCTGCAACCTTGGCATTATCAGCACCACACTAACCAACTGAGCTATCCAGGCTTATTCTTTCTTTTCCTTTTTTTAGTTTCCCAAGGTGGGGGGGGGGGAATCCTTTCTTATTTTGACCTGTGGCGGGAGGGAGGGATGCAAACATACAATTAAAAAAAGTATTTATTTTAGAAGTCCAAAACTAAATATTTCAACACAAATGTACAGCCTAAAGAAATGCATTGGGTAAAAGAGGAGACACTGAAGCCAATTAAAGCCTATAAACACAGTATCTTGATTTCATGGGCTGAATGATGCCCAAGTACTGATCATTTTAAAGACTGAGTCACACCATGCAGCAATGTGAGTGTCATGTGTACGCCGGTGTTTGCAGCGGTATGTGCTGTACAGGACAGCTGAATGTTTGCAAGCAGGCAAAGAAAAGAGCTAACATGCCCCTCCACTTTGCATTTATGCCTGAAAATGCTGGTGCGAATGTAGCAAATGAAGCTTGCTGTAGAGAGTGTGAATCAATTTCATCCAGCAGACACCAAAGAGTGAATGTGATTTCTTTTTTCCCTGTATCAAAACAGTTGTAATTCATAGAGTATCAAAGTTATTTCCTGATGAGCTACAGCTCTGAAATTTGGTACCTGCATATTCCAAGGCACTTCAAATGATAAAAAAGGGAAAGGGGGTAAAAGAGAGAGCAGAAAATGTCACTTCACTCTCTTAAAATGGGAAATAAAGCATGCCTCTAACTGCAACCAGAAAGATTAATTTTGGCACACATGTAGCCTGAAACACCCTAAAATCTTGAGAGGAGGACAGACATTCATATATCTATCAGAACAGGGGACTCAAAAGGAACCTCCAAATGGTCAAGCCCAGGCACAGGCAAACTTGGCCCTCCAGATGTTTTGGGACTACAACTCCCATCATCCCTGACCACTAGTCCTGTTAGCTGGGGATAATGGGAGTTGTAGTCCCAAAACATCTGGAGGGCTGAGTTTGCCTATGCCTAGTCAAGCCATTCCCACTCTGGATAGGAAGCTGAAATCCCAAGACACAGTAATTATCGCTACAAAACCCTGAAAGAGAAATTTCTTAAGAGTCTTAAGCACTGGGGAAAAGGCTGACATAAAGTACTATGCGACACCTAACCATCAAAACATGGACATAAAGCTGACCTCAAAATTGGGTTCCGTATTCCAGCACAAAGTAAGCAAGTCAAACTGGATGTAGCATAGGTATGTTGGGCTCTTGTAGCAGTTCTGCTTCCTCTTCAGGCTTGGATTCCCCTCCCCGCCCCCTTGTGGTGATTCCAGTAGCCCCCAGCAACACAGATCAATACTTGCATAATGCAAGTTTTGTATATTACATACATACTTACAAGACATAAATACACATTTTTTAAAAAATAAAGAAAAAACACATAGAGATGCTTTGAAATGTAGGTATAGATCTAGGCACATGTGCATATATTATATTCTATTCCGACACATGCACATAGTCAATACCCTTGAAATACCTTAAAAGCATGATGTGTTACAGAAAGTCAAAGTTAAATCTGAACTGAAATTCCAGAACTGTTCCCACAAGCTCAAAACAAAACATTGGAGACTAACGTGGCCGAAGCCACTGGTGTCATTCACATTCCCATGAGGCAAAGTTGTTAACGGTGTTTGCAAAGCCCCGGTTTCTTTCAGTGTGGAATGCGCTAGAAAATCTCCCTAATACACTGCAGTCGTTGTGTAGAAGAAGTCCAAGTGACCCTGGACTTCTTAGGTCCAGTCCAAGCCCAAGCAGTCGATCCATAAGCATCTTACTGTTTACAGCACTCTGACAGAATCTGAATTGATCAGAGAGTCACTCTGCTCAGCTGTAATTTCACACGGTGCGCCACGAGAGTCCACACTGGCAACGGTGCTTCTCGTTCGACTACTGTCCACAGTCCCTGGACTTCTTGCCCCTGTAGCATCTGTGCTTGCCACACTCCCAGTCCGAGAGCGATATGGAGGGAGTTCTATGTGACTCTGGGATTCCGATTCTGAGGAATAAGGAGGTGGAGGAAGATCAAACCACGGTGGTCTGCTGCAAGGTATAAATGAGATGGCAAATTACTAAAGGTACAAAGAGAACATGAAGTATCTGATTTTTGCTACAGTGGTACCTTGGTTCTCAAACACCTTGGTACTCAAACACCTTGGTTCCCAAACACCGAAAACTCGGAAGCAAGTGTTCCAGTTTTCAAACGTTTTTCGGAAGCCAAATGTCCGATGCGGCTGTCGGCTATTGTTTCCGGGGTGCCTGAACCAATTAGAAGCCATCCCTTGGTTTCTGAACATTTTGGAAGTCAAACGTACTTCTGGAATGGATTAAGTTTGAGAACCAAGGTACCACTGTATACCAAGCACACTAACCTTATATGTACTGGAGAAAGGATACCTAGCTACATACATATATTATCTTAGTTGGCAAGCCAGATGTGTATTTGTTTATATACAAACTGTTTTCCATGCAGGAAAACTTGGTTCTGGCTATGCACAGCACAGATTGACTGACTCCTGTGACATTAAGACTTTAATCTGTCCCATCCATGGAATGATTTTGCAAATCTTAAAAAAATTATTTTGTAAAATGAAAAATTAAAAGTTTAAATGAATACATTTTAATATGTTTTAAAAAAGTGGACCAGCTGCCAGAAAAATGGGGTGCAAGACAGATGGCTGAATCAGCATTCAAAGTGCTGTTAAGTACCATCTGTCCAATGGGGGGGGGGGGGAGAGAGAGAGTGCTGGGCTTACTTACTCTGTAGCATAACAAGAGAGGATAGCAAGTCCTATATAAATGTAGTTTTGTAAGCACTCCAACATGAATAATGCTTGGCGTATATGTGGCAAGGAATATTTAGGACCTTCATTCTCCCGTTCCCCATCCCCTTATATGAAAATGGTAAATGAAATGCACAAGCTGATATTGGGCTACAGAACATTTCATTCTACATGATTCCAGCCATTCTTCCTAGCCCCAGGACAGCAATGAAGAAGAACTGGACTGCTGGCCTAAGTTCAAGGCATGCTGGAAATCTATCAACATTACAAAGCTGCTGCCTGCTGCCACCAATCACCACAATCACTACTGAAGCCATGACGGCCATGGTAGTAAAGCCAAGAAATGAACAAATTGGCTTCCTATTCCTACAAAGCACTGTTGTAGCCACATATCTCCCACAACAGACTGTGGGCAGATAATGTTTTTATTGGATCAGCGTCTGATGATGCAGCAGGCATGCCAACAAGTTTCAAGAGCTACATTTTAAAATCTGGGAAATCCAAGGCAAATTTCAAAATAAATATATGAAGTCACTAATTAACTGTTAGTCAACACAATTAACTATGAACAAAGAATCCTACAGGCAAAGTCTTTTACAAAGTGAGTTTTCTTTCTTTTTTTCCTTCCTTGCACAATAAATGAGCTTTGTGTACTATCTCTTTCAAGGCTCCAGATGTCTTCTCTCAAGGTAGCACTTCCACACAGAGATGATGCATTCTCCTAAGGCACAAACCTAAGCATTTGTGTCGGGGAAATGCAATTTCCTCTCCCACATGTGGGAATTGCGACTGTGAGTGCGCTTCAGAACAAGGTTTCAAAAACCTCATGGCACTTAGCGATGCCATTAATGGTGAATGACAATTCCCTGCCCCCTTCCTTGTGCGCAACCTTTTGAAAGTTTAATTTTGTTTTGAATTATTTATTCTTTAAAGGTTGAACACTCCCATACTGTACCATTTGAGTGCAAAAGTGCTTGTGTAGCCCCTTAAAGGAAAAATGGCGAACAGGAAGAAAAAGTGGAGTCTGCCTCCCTCCCCCCAACCACTGGCAACAACGGCCTGCCATTATGCACATTGCTTTGAAAGTTCTGCACTCCCCATTTCCATCAAAAGTGCCTATGACTTTCTTGGTTAAAACAACAACAATGCACAACTCAACTATTATGAGAAAACAGTCTTTCTCATTGTATTCTATAAAAGTGAAGTATTGTTTGTAGAAATAGCACTATACGCCAGCTGTGAGGAACTTTGGCTCTCCCGATGTTGCTGAACTGTAGCTCCCGAAAGATGGGAGTTCTAGTTCAGCAACACCCTATGTTCCCTATGGCTGTGATACACAGAAGTGATGGTGCCACAGAGTTTCCAAGCGACAGCTATTCTATACTGGACTAGTGCTGGGGCGCATGCTTAGTGCACATACCTTTGGTCTAGTACAGCTTCTGAATAGGATGGTGGGGAGTCCAGGTCTGGTGGCCTGTGGTAGGCCTGACTGGACATGTATTGGACCCCATTGTTGACATTGTAGGTGACACTGCACTGGTGTGGGTGGTCGAGGACAACCAGCCGGGAGAGGAGGACGGGGTGCTGCAGTCGATGTACAGGAAGCGTCATGAGGTTGTTGCGCTTTCGCTGGTGGTGCAAAACCAAGGCGAGGAGGGCCACTACCAGCACAAAAATGGCAGAGCTGCCAATGACTGCATAGGTGATGCTGGGATAGAAGATCAGCTGAGGCTCCGAGGTCACATAATTCTGGTCGCTGCCAGCTTCTGCAAGGGAGAGGAAAGGAGAAAGAGAAAATTAGTCCCTGTGGAAGAGAAGCAGCACTTCTGTTCCCTAGCTATATTCTCTGGTAATGTACCGCTGGCTGGCTTCCCACCAAGTTTTCCTCCTCCTTTAGGAAGTGTGGAAAATGAGCTTATCAAGAACATATGCACCCAAAATGGAGACCAGCTGACTGAAATTGCACATTTCCCTTTGCCTGCCTCAGATGTTTCTGCTTTGTGCAGATGTGCTCCATGGCTGTGGAGGGAAAGAAAAGTCAACAGGAAAGACAAGAAGATTTATTTAGCCTTGTATCAGCACTTATGATTTAACTTTTTAGTAAACAGCTGAATGGAAAAAGTCACGTCCCGTTTCCATGTGGTAAGGCTTAAAACAGAATACGTCTTGCCTAAACCCCAGTGCAATGCTAATCCAACTGACAAGCCCACAAAAATTACCAGCTGTCCACTCCCCCCCCCAGCTTATCTGTGTGCAGAAAGAAGAGAAAACTTTTGTATAGCTTCCCAGCCTGATTGCCTGGAGGTGGATTTTCTGTGCTGCAGGCAATCAGGTGTGCGACTATTTACAATTCTGTTAGCCATTGATTTTGACCATGCTGTGCCATCTCTCTTATCTTTCTCAAAACAAACAGTTTCATTGCAAATCTGAAACAAACATAAAGAAGATACACATCATTAATTGTTTCTTAGCAAAACCAAACACCTCTTAAAGAAAATGAAACCATCATAAAATATTAAATGAACCTTTTGCTTAGCACAATATTGTGTTGCGGCAATAGGAGAATCGGACTACCAATTTATTTTGTTAAAGCCCTTTATGATGCTGGTAAGCAACAGGCCACATGATACCAATGATTAACATATCAGCTGGTATTAAACATCAAACGTTTCTATGGTTTTGTAAAGAATGAAAATGGTTTCTTGGAATTCAACACAAAGCTCTTTGCCCAAATATCCTAAAGCCAACATTTGCACTCCCTCTCTGTTTTAAATTTCAAAACAGCAACTCCTTACATTGTTAAACGCAGTCTGCACATTCCAGGGCAACTTCAAAAAATTCCCAGTCAAGAAAGATAGCAGATTTTAAATGTATTCAATTATTTAAAGCCAAACATTTATTCAAATAGTGCTTGCCTTGCTAGCTAAGAAAGAAATGAGAGAATACGGTTAGGGAACACATACGGTAAGTCACACTGCTCTCCCTTGTGTGTCTGTTTGAAAAAATGTGAAATAAGAGCCACTAATAGCCCTGTGGCATTTCATTACTGGTTGTTGTTTTTTAACCTGCTGCATATTGTGTCAAAACCTTCCTAAGGAACTCAGGATTACCTGATTGTGACATTCTCCTCTTTTAACTTGAAGCAAATTAAAATAAAGAAGCACCAATGTGAGGCAACCACTCATCTCAGCAGAACTCAGTTTCTCCTATTGCTGCCTCCGGGCTTATTGCTTATACTCCCACCACCACCTGCTAAATTTGAAGAGGAAAATGGGAAAGATAAAATGGAACAGGGTTTTAGACTGCCATCTAATGCTGCACAACTAAAGCCCTGTAAGGGTGGGGGATGAATTCACAAGTGCAGCAGCACTTTAGGGTGCTGCATCGTCACTTATTTCCAGCAAATTAGCATTTCTTGAGCTTTGTCCCAGGACATACTTCCCAGTTTTGTCCAGTCTAGCCACTACATCATATATACATGTCTAGAAACAGCGGTATGGAAACAGCTGAATCCCTGAACCTCGAAGACAGTATTTGAGAAAAAGCAGCAAATCAGTTACTATTTTGTAAAAGGAATTAAGTCATGCACTTGCCCACACTATTAAGTAGACATCTTTTGCAGCAACCAGCTTGACCCAATACGATGGCAAGCAGAGGTGCATGAATTCTACCTGGATGCTGTGATCCAAGAAGCAGAAGAGAGTGCAACAGCTACTTTGCTGCTGGAGCTCGAATGCTCCCATGCCTAGGATAGATAAGCACTAACAATTAGGATAGGGCAGAACACCCGCTGGTTGAGTTTGATGTTCAGCAATGACTGGCACTGTCAGAACAGACAGCTATGAGTGATGATACGACAGGCAGTGTGTATACTGTGCATAAGAAAACCAGCGCACTGAATGTTATATGTATCAGGAATAGGTGAGATCAAATCCTCCTTCCACTATGAAACACACTGGAGGATTTTGGAAAATCACCATATCTCAACTCATCTTCTTTCACAGGGTTGAAGATTTAAAAAACAGTGGGGAGTAAAATTATTACAATAAAGCTAAATATCTTAGGACAACAGTTAGAAGAAAAATTGGCATATGATATGGTACTATCAGTTGATGTTCACTATACCTGGAGTTGAGGTGAAAAATGGAGAACTGGTGGAACACTTCTTGTACTCACACCTGTCCCAGATACTAAATACAGCCCTCCCCAATTTGCACCACCCTTTTGCAACCCTGGGGAGGTCAGATCTACACCTGGAAAACAGACTGCTCTCACTCATTATGGCAGGGAGGTGGAAATAAGGCTGGAAGCTCGATTGCTCATAACACATTATGACACGGGGGTGGAAATAAGGCAGCATTTTGTCTGGATATTCAGTTTACAATTTTAGAGAAATGTATGGCTTTTTAGTTCTGCTCTAATAACTTTCAGCAAATACTTATGCATCACAGATGAAGCTACGGAATTAAGTTTCCTGATAATGCAAAGGGAACATTTCTCTGTGAAGAGCCAGGTATGATGACACGGGGAGATTTAGAATACTGTTTGTTCTGTTTCATAACAACGGAGAGAGTGGACAAGCTGAATTAACTCAGATTCATGCGGCTTCCATTCTTCTCTGGTTTTCTTAGCAGGATCTATGCATTTTAACAGCACTAGGTAGAGATAGTTCATCAATGCCACTTTCGCCTATTAAACCTCATTAGCAGAAAACATGCTGAGTGTGCAGACTAGAAGCTTTGAGGATAAAAGTATATATAAAAGGCCCAAATAGTTATGGCTGAACAGAGGGATGGTAATGAAAAACATTACAGGGTGTACTCAAAGGACCGTTTTATTATCCATGAACAAATTACACCATCTTAAAATTATTAAAAAGGTCTAGGACCAATTGTATTAGGCCTCTTAAGACACTGGGAAATGGAGAGGCCATTACTTTGTCTCTCCTGAGCCTCTGCTCAGCCGAGCTGTTTCACACTTCATCAGGGCTAAAAGCTTTTGAAATACATAATCGGAGCAGGCATCTGCAGCTTTAATGAACACAAGTAACTGCCCATCTCCCAACAAAAGATACCACTTTGACATCACATTTAAATTCCAGCAGATTAAAATAAAAATAAAAATGTGGCAGCTGCAAAATCACCAAGCCTGCTGGTTAGCACACCCTGCTTGTACAGAACTCAGAGCTGCTGGATAAGAGCTCAGGGTGGCTCTGTGCTGCCCCATAGTCCTTAATTCTGTTCTGCCTCATAATCCAGTAAGACCATGTAAAGTGTGTGTGTCTATGTTCTAAGGGGAAAGCTTTCAGGACAGGTGTGTGTGAGTGGGGGTGAGGGTGTAGGCAGCTTCTGCTCAAAATCCCACCCCAGGTCCAGTTTGAATAACTCTGTGAAAATAACTTCAAACATAAACCAAAGGCTCCATGCACTGCATTCATCTTATTATCAGAATTAGGTGGAAACCAGCTCTTTGTGAGTCCTGAATGTGAGTCCAAGTTGCAGGTACTGATTAGGGCAGGCCACAGATATCCAAGAAGGGTTTTTGAGAGGGTGCCTTGCTCAGCCTCCTGTTGCAAAGCTCAGCTTATTATTTTAATACAGTGGTACCTCGGGTTACATACACTTCAGGTTACAGATGCTTCAGGTTACAGACGCTTCAGGTTACAGACTCTGCTAACCCAGAAATATTACCTTGGGTTAAGAACTTTGCTTCAGGATGAGAACAGAAATCGTGCTCTGGCGGTGTGGCGGCAGCAGGAGGCCCCATTAGCTAAAGTGGTGCTTCAGGTTAAGAACAGTTTCAGGTTAAGAACAGACCTCCAGAACGAATTAAGTTCTTAACCCGAGGTACCACTGTAATGTGCTTGGTTGTATGGTGGATCTGTTCCCTTTCTCTTCTAGAAGTCCCTGTGGTCCTTGAAACAACTTGTAGTGGCTACTGAGAGATCTATCTTCCATAAATTTGTTTTATAAATTTGTCTAATTGTTTTTCTTATTTATTTTATTTTACTAAGTGATTTATAAACTGCCTTTTGGGGCACAACTGCCAAAACCAGCGTACAGAATTCTGTATGAAGCATGATAACCTTCAAAACCAAATTAATTCTGCCCACTTTGAACTAAGCCACAGCAATTAAATTTTATCACAGCAATTAACAAGTAGGTAGAAGTGAAAATGGGATCTGTAAGACCAAGCTATATATAGTGTGAGGTTTTCAGAGTCAAAGGAAAACTTTTCACAATCTATTGCCAACCGTTAATTTAGTATTTAGCACACAGAACTTTTCTTTACAAAACTTGCGACACTACACAAGAACAGTGCTGGTGGCTGCATAGTTCATTTCAGCTATTGCTTAGCACTGCAGGACGACTGCACACTGACTCATCAGACAGAAGACCCAGAATTTCACCTCTCACCTTCTCTCCTTTTTATTTCTTACAATGCTGGATAATTATCCAGAGCACCTCTCCTGTCCCAGTTTCAATGTGGGGAAAAGAAAGGACTGAAAAGGACACAATCAGCAAAGTGAGAAAATAAGCCGAGAACACATGAATACTAAGTTCTAAAATTAATCTTAAGAGCTATAAAAAGGGATGGGCTTTGATAATATCAAGTGCTGTCCATGGTGTACAAAACACGTTACAAAGCTTAAATGATTTATCACCTTAAAAGGTAGGCTAGGACAGCACAGTGCCTCTGGGACAATTCACACAACTATACCAGACCCTGATACTTGCAGCAAAAAGGTCATCCATGCTTGCTTGCT